GGGGCGAGAGAGAGAAGACTTTGCTGCAGCGCGGCTCACTGCTGCTGCCTTGCTAGGAGTTGCTGCTGCTTCTGGTGCAGCAGCAGCAGCAGCAGCAGCAGCTTCAATGTTGCTGCTGCTGCTGCTGCGGTCGCCAGCAGCAGCAGCAGCAGATGCTGCGGATATAATCTTCGTTGATCCTTCTGCTGCTGCACCTCTTAATTGCTGCTGCGACGAGAGTCTTCTGCTGCTGCTGCTGCTGCTGCTGCTGCTGCGGTCGGCTGCAGCAGCAGCACCAGTTGCTGCTGCCGCTGCTGATTCAGCTAGAGGTGGTTTCCGTGCTGCTGCTGCTGCTGCTGCTGCTGCTGCTGCTGCTGGCTTGTAGCTGCGCGTGGCACTGGCAACGGCCTCAGCAAAAGCAGGGGGAAGGCCCNTGCTGCTGCTGCTGGCTTGTAGCTGCGCGTGGCACTGGCAACGGCCTCAGCAAAAGCAGGGGGAAGGCCCTCCGTATCCTGCAGCGGTCTCTGTGCTGCAGCAGCAGCAGCAGCAGCAGATGCTGCTGCTGCTGCTGTTGCTGCTGCTGCTGCAGTTGATGCCCCAGGAGGTGGCGGCAGACGGATGGCTGCTGGGAGCAGCCGCAGCGCCGAGAACGCACTGCGTACACTTTGCTGCTGCTGCTGCTGCTGCTGCTGCTGTTGCTGCTGCTGCTGCTGCTGCTGCTGCTGCTGCGTGGCAACAGCAAGAAGCATCGCCAGCACAGTCCCCCCCTCTGGAGTTTTGAATCGGCAGCAAACAGCAGCGTGCTGCAGCGCGGTGTCTATACACCCGAACTGCAGCAAGCAGCAGCAGCCATCAGCAGCAACAGCAGCAACTGCATGCAGCTGCGGGGCCACCTGCTGCAGCAGCGGCAGATCTTCTTCACAGGTATAAGGCAATATAGCTGTAACAGGACTATTCCCCCCCTTCTGCTGCTGCTGCTGCTGCTGCTGCTGCTGCTTCTGCTTCTGCTGCTGCTGCTGCTGCTGCTGCTGCAGCCGCTGCTGCACTGCCACCAAGTCCGTAGGAGAGAATGCTGCTGCTGCTGCCTCGCAGTAAGCGCGGAGGCCTGTGGGGTCCGGCAGCATCATCAAGGTAAACCCATACGCCTGCAGCAGCAGCAGCAGCA